GGGAGGAGGAGGGGGAGGTAATGACGCCAGGTGGCAAGTGTGGTCCTGCTGATGCCCCCGGAGAGGCTGTTGTTCTCTTGGTTATCGTGCTCCGGGTTATGTGTGCGGGAGTAGTGTTTATCATTCCCCTGTCAGGTGGTAAGGTGAGATGTCACATTATATAACATATAGTAGTCAGGGGTGGCAAGTCCAAGCATATTTGTTAAAGGGAACAATAATAACAAGGAACAACATTTAGAGAAAGATTGGTTCGAACCAGTCTTGGTTATCGTGATCAAAAGTCCCATCGATATTACCGAGGGTCTACCCTTGGAAGATGTGCAGCGGTGCTCTGTTCTATGCTTTATGTATCTGGTGACGGAGTGTCTCTGGTGCGCGGGACGAAGGGTGTAACCGTGGTCGGGTCCCAGGATCTTGTAGGTTGCCCCGGCATTGCTGGTGTGTTGGGCAGGCCCAGTTTTTGTAAGAATGGCACGGCTTTGTTCATATTGTGTAGGACGTGCTTGGTGCCAGCTTGTGTGACTATTATGGAGTTGTCCGTCCCCGACCTGTACGATATGCCTGCTCGTCGTAATTGGGTGGTGACGGGTCCGCAGGATTTCCTCCATAGCAGAGTAGCCCTTGTCAGGTCCTGGAAGAACGACAGCTCGGAGCTCTCAAATGTGAGTGGTGTTTTGCCCCTGATGGCTTGCATGGTTTGGATTTTTTCTTGGACTGTGTGGCAGCGTACGACAACATCTCGGTTCGTGTTAGGTTTTGTGTGAGCTGTTGTGGGGAGGCGGTATATGCTGTCAGCTGTCATTTTAGTATAGTAGCCAGTAGGCGCCTTATGTAGTGAGGCAGTTCCTCCGCGGACACCGCTGCTGGGATCCCCCTAATTTTTATATGTGAACGGCGGTGTCGGTCCTCCATGACCGTGAGCCTTCCAGTCAGGATTCTCTGGTTCTGTTGAAGTTGTTGGACCAGGTCCTACACCGCATTGATCTTGGTATGTGCATCTGCTTTGCTGTCCTCGACCGTTCCCACTCTCTC